CGCTGCCTTGGAGCTGACTACGCTCACTACCGTGTAATCTCTTAGTTTGTATACCCCAATAAGATAGAAATAAGTTCCGCACAGAAATTTAAGACTTCTCGTATGAAATAACTAAAGTGGCAAGTCTTATACATAAATTAAAGGGAGTTTGTGGACAGGAGGTGAGGAGTTTATCACGGACCAGAACGCGAAATCTAAACGAGCCGAAGAACCGAGGTTTGACATGCGAAACGTGAGTCTATATAACGACCGCGAATGTCCAAAGGACGACAAGGTCAAATTTTGGAAGAGGGGAACGTGAGGTCCGACAAAGACACGCGTGCACTTTACAGTAGGGAGTTTCTCTCGCTTTCCTTCTCATACTGCCTGTCACTTTCCCTCTAATCTTCCTGTGGTTATTGTTTTGAAACACCGCTCTGTGCCGCTGCAGAATGTAGTGGACTCGCGAGTAGAGGACGCGCGAGAGCGCGCAGCTGGCGGTCCGCTCCGGGGCTCAGTCTGCATTTCATCCAACTTTGCATTAACGAAACAATTTCACAACAGACCCTGACAAACTCACAAAAACACAAAACAAATGATTAAAATGAGTGACTTACTTTTCCGCCGTCAAAACACTGCTTCTTGAAAGACTCTTCTTTGCAGATGAAAAAATCCTTCGATTTGTCCCGATGCAGAGGATGTTTTGTTTGGAGATGCAGGGCCAATTTATTCATTTTCAAGCTTTCATTAATTAGCACCTCTCCACATAAAACACACTGAGGCCGCTCCTCTCCTTTCAACAGCTTTTGTGAAGCCAACGTTTAAAAACTCCTCTTTGTATCATCTTTTTGCCATCATGTACTATCGGGATTAATCAACAGACAATAAACGGACAGCGCGAAAACTTTCGCGGGGGACGCGTCAGAGCTGATACAAATACAATCTTTTATTTTTAGTTTATTTGTATTTAGAAAATTAAATCATTCAATATACCATGCTATATTGCATAATTTCATTTTCAAAATAAAATACAAAAATTATAAAAAAAATTGTATTTGGAATGCAGCCATCAGCTCTGACGCTGTGTGTGTGTGTGTAGCAATGCATTTAACTGGTGACCCAATCAAAACGGGTCTGCGACCCAAAATGGGTCGCGACCCTGAGTTTGGGAAAGGCTGTCTTAGTGTAATTTGGCTTGGCTTACAGCCCTGCCGTTGTCTCTTGTGTCATGATGAGGTTCACGTAAAACACGGTTAATGTATTATATTACTGAGGTGTCTCAAATATACGTCAATCAAGTAGCACCTGCTAAAGGGGTGGTGGATGATAGTTTTAAATCTAAAAACGTATTTTTCAATTACATTATTCTTTCTTTTGTTACTTTTTTGTTTTAAACGGTCCAATCTACCCGCACCACACTCGTTCGCGATCGACTGGTTGGCGACCACTGCCATAGAGGATGCTATTGCAGTAGTCGAGTCGTGAAGTGATGAATGCATGAATCAGGGTTTCAGCAGCAGAGGAGGAGAGTGATGGGCGGAGACGGGCAATGTTTTTGAGGTGGAATAAGGCGGTCCTGGTGATATGATTTATGTGGTGGTTGAATTTGAACGAGAAAATTGAAACCTGAATAGTACTCCAACGAACGAATATTCCGGTAAAGCCCTAATACACTACACATTTGCAGCATGGGCTTTACTGAAGAAAACAAACGTATAGCGTATTGATGCATGAAGCAAAATATGTTTAGTTATGAAAATGCAGGGAAAGGTGAGCTACACAAGTGGTTCCCAACCTTTTTTTTCTATAAGAAACCCCACGCTCATCTGTGATGATTCGCCTACATGTTTTCTTGTGTTAAACCCTTTGTATTTGTATTTAACCCGACTGCTCCTTGGATGAAAAGCACTTGTAGAACTCACCCTTAATACAAATGCCCCGTACCCCCGGTTGGGATCCATCATCA